ACTCCTAAACCTACCAATACTAGGGGGTGCATAATCTGGCAGGGTGCAAATTTCGGCACTACACCTGAAATAAACAGCTTTCTGACACTGTTGTCAAAAACACCAACAGTTCTCATTTGTTTTTACATGTTTGTCCAAGCTGTTTTGTCAGTCAACAACAGACTAAATATACAACAAACAATGGTATGAATTAGCCTAAATAAACAAATACATCCTTAAATTAATCAAATTAATTCCATAGCATTACAAAAAACAGGTGCTCAGGTTATAATACACCTCCGATGTGATATCAGAACCTGCGTTGATCACGCATGCGCACAATGAAAACGCGCAAAATGCTGATCGCTCGGTGATTTACAGAAGCGGAGAGCGTCAAAAGCGAAGCCAAACACCGCCAGCTCAAACCCGACCAGAAGGCAGCGCATGTAAGACCAGGGAATCTGAAAGGTTCTTCAGTGTGTAAGAGGAGCACCGCGTGGACGCCTTTACTGGAGACTTTTGCTTCTTTTTAAAGATATATGTTTACTCTTTCAGTATGAGGTTCCCTAACAGAAAACTACACACGGCGGTGGATGGAGAAGACGCGGGCGTTTTTGCACACTTCAGAAATCCTTTCGTGCACGAGTTGAGATTTACTCCTCTGCAGAAACTCAAGGTAAAGTATCTTCGCCGCTGTGTTTAGTTTTTTTCCCCTCTTTGCAGAAGACAAGGAAGAGTGAAACATTAGCAGAAGTTATTGTTTCACGTTACAGCACGGTGCATATTAGAGTCACGTCGTGCGTCATCTGCCAAAAATATGCAGAAAATCTTATCGTCTGTTCTTAAATCAGCAGGTTCACATCTTTGAGCAGGTGTAGACGGTTTGATTTTAATATTAGTAGTAGTAGTAGTTGTTGTTTTACCTGCATGACGTCCTATAATAGCCTACACCTGCATGTTTGTTTGTTTGTTTGTTTGTTTGTTTTACATTTTTGAAATATAGGCTATATCATTCTTAGAGTCAAAAGCACCGGTTCATGTTTTATGGGGTGTGACGCCAATTGAAAAGCAGCTGACGGCCCTTTGTTTAAAATACAGATGTATAGACTCATTTTGTCATTATTTTAAAGACTGTTCAAGTAGTGTTGTTGTTGTTATGGTATAAAGGCTAAGTCGAAACTGGAAATGTATATGACAACCACTGGCTAGTAAGTTTGGGTCTGTAACAAGATTAGACATTGACAAGGGATCAGGGAGGCATTTCCTGGGAACTAAAATGAAATATAAAAATAAAATAAACATATTTTATAATCTAAATGTCATGCAGAGCAGTCTAAGATTAGCTGTGGTGTTTTTTTGTTTTTTTTGACTAAATAGTGCAAAACCTTCTTTCATCGGTATTCTGATGTCATTTACATGAAAAGCATTATTTCCTGGCACTTTATTGCACTGTTACATCGTGGTCCTGGAAAACCTGGAGATGTCAGGCAATTATAAAAAGTGTGATTTCCAGTCTGGGAAAACTCATGGAAATGATTACAATATTAAAAGGGCATGGAAAAACAATTTCTTCAGCTGGAAATGACTTGTATTCAATAATTTATTTATTATTATAATTTGTATCTAGTCATCACAAATGATCTCAAATGAAGATTTGGAAATTTAATAGAAATTTGGAACCCTGAATTGCAGATCAGTGATAAAATCAGTTTGTATTTGATGCACAGTAGCATTCTGGCATAGAGGAACTGGAGAATTTCTCCTAAAGCAACTGTGTTAGAAACTGTATGGCTCAACTGAAGCATGATTATGGGATGTGTATCCATCCAGTTCCATGAGTGATTAGTGAAGGGGTTGTTGATGTTTTGTGTTTTTAGTAAGTCGTTTAAAACTTTTGAGATCATTCAGATCCATTCAGATCAATATTTATCAAGGTTTATAGGAAACTTGCAATGTATGTGGGCTGCAACATTTCACCACTTTCCTCATGTAGAGACTTCACAGAAAACCTGAAATGCCACTCCTTTTTCTTCAAATGTCACTCACAGGAGATATACAAGAAAACTGAGTTTCCAAGTCATGCACTCCCTGTTTAACTGTCATCTCAATCTTCTCAGCCTTTCCTGCTGTTTGTGGGAAATGGAAAGCAAAGACATCAGTTGCTAACAGGCAGGAAATCCACAAGAGCCACTGATCTGATAATAGTTTATCCTCGCATTTCAGCAGGTAGAGAAACCCTTCTAGAAGACAGTATGGTCACTTTTCATAAATCGGACAAGGTCAGATAATTGTTTACTAGGAAATAGGCAAGTGTCTATTCTTTTTTTAAAGAATTAGCCATTCGCCTACTGCAATTTTCTAATGTAGAGTTCTTAAACAACAGCAGTTTGAAAGGTCTAAGATAGGCTGTGATGATTCACCTGATTTCCATATGCATCAGATTCCAAGATAAATGGCCCTTTGTGGCATTATGCAAGATCTTTTTAATATACTCAGGCCTGCGGGTTACTATAATAAATAATACTAATAAACTAAATGCTAATATTTATTGAGCAGCAAATCGGCATATTAGAATAATTTCTGAAGGATCATGTGACACTGAAGACTGGAGTAATGATGCTGAAAATTCAGCTTTGCATCAAAGCATTATTTTGAGGTTATTTTAAATTATAATAACCTAGCCCAGTCTTTAGCTTTCGAATATTTTTTAAAATAGGTATGAGAGTTTTTTCCCTCCCTATTTGGTTCCCCCTATCTATTTTTGGAATCAGCACCCCAAAATTTGTAAGAATCAAATATTAGATTTAATTCAGCTAATATGATGCAGGGTGGTGTAATATTTTACAATAATATAGTTTTTTTTTTTTTTTACTATATTAATTATGATCATATAGGCTACATTAAATTAAAATTTCATCAAAAAGAGATGAAATTTAGAGAATAAACTATAATTTCCTAAATTTCAAGGTCGCTGCTTAGTCCTATATGAAGTTATCCTAACAGAAGTAGAAGGGCAGTTTTTAAGCATATTTCATAAATTATTGTATTCTGAAGCATAGTATAAAAACTTGAATGAGATATTTGATAAAGAACCCTGATCAAAATTAGAGAACACTTACAGATACCTTCAAGTTATTGGTGTTAATCTGGCATCTGGTGCTAATTTCCTGAAAGGGTTAGTTCACCCAAAAATGAAACTTATGTAATTAATTACTCACCCTCGTGTTGTTCCAAACCCGTAAGACCTTCGTTCATCTTCGGAACACAATTTAAGATATTTTTGATGAAATAGGCTCTCTGACCCTCCCATAGACGAAGCTACGAGAATACTTTTTTGCACAAAGTGATGCAGTAGAGACGAAAATGTGGAATAAAGTCGTTATTTTTGTTTTCTTTGCGCAAAAAAAGTATTCTCGTAGCTTCGTAACTTTACAGTTGAACCACTGATGTCACACGGATTACTTTGTCGATTATCTTGGTACTTTTCTGGACCTTGAACGTGGTAGTTACCTTGCTGTCTATGGGAGGGTCAGAGAGCCCTCATATTTCATCACAAATATCTTAAATTGTGTTCCGAAGATGAACAAAGGTCTTACAGGTTTCGAACAACACGAGGGTGAGTAATTACTAAAGAACTAACCCTTTAATTATCTGAAAAACCCTATTTAACTGGTAGCATTCCTCCAGTTTTCACTGAGATACGGAAACCCTGCGACAGGAGGTTGTCCAGATGAAGGCCAAAGGGATGACCCTTTCAGCAACTGCAAGAGAAGTTGGTCATTCCAAATCTGTGATTTCTCGAATATTGCAGCTTTACAATGACACTAATTCATTCAAGTCCCCCCAAAAGGCTGGTCGTCCACCTTAGACAAATGCACAAGAAGACAGAATAATGCAGAGACTCTCAATGAGGAATCGGTTCAACACTGCAGCTGGAATTGCTGCCAGTTCAGTGCTGAACAGGGTAAGGATCTGTCTCAGCATATTTAAGAGATATCGGACTGAAAGTGCACTCTGCAGTGACCAGACCTCTCACCAGCAGAAAAAATAAAAAGGCTCACCTTTGCTGAGGAGCATGTTGTGTGAACAAAGTTCACTTTAGTAATGAAAGCAAGTTTAATTCATTTGGGTCTAATGGCAAACATTATGTTCGGCGTCAAACTGAGGAAAGACTGAACCACAAGTGCGTAAAGAAATCAGTGAAAGGTGGAGAAGGAAGTGTCATGCTTTGGGTGATGCTTTGTGCAGCAGGAGTTGGGCCTCTTATACAGATACTTGACAGAGTGAATGCAAATGTTTATCAGAACGTCCTTCAGCAACATGCAGTTCCTTCCCCACAAGCATCTCCCAATCAACCTGCAATTTTCATGCAGGACAATGCCCCCTGCCAGACAGCAAAACGGGTAAAGCATTTCCTTGAAGCTAAGAACACTGAAATAATGAAATGGCAAGCCCAGAGTCCTGATCTAAACCAGACTGAAAATCTCTAGAAAATTCTTGGCGACAAAGTTATGGCTAAGTAAGAAACACACTACAGTCACCGAACTGTGGAAGAGACTAGAAGAAGAGTGGACCAAGATCACACCTGCACAATCTGAGAAACTAGTGATGTCCTGTGGCCGCATATGTGCTAAAGTCATTCAAAGCAAGGGCCTCTACACTTTACCTATTAATTTCTGCCAGCTGTAACCCTCCCAAAGTTTAGTTGTAATCTTCTTTCGTGCTACAGTGGTTACTGTTCTCTAATTTTGATCACAGTTTTTTCCACAAAACAAAGGTTTTTGTTGAAATGCCTTGGATTTTTTGCAACATGTAGTATACCTAGAACTAGGGCTGCACAATTAATCTAATTTCTAATCGCGATTACAATTATGGATGCCACAATTACGTAATCAATTGTGATAATCGTAATTAATAATCACAATTACAATTTCAAGGGAATAATCGACAATTATGATTTTTGTCATAATCGTGCAGCCCTACCTAGAGCTAATATTCCTTCAAATTTTAAACGAAGAAGATTAACAATATTTCAGAAAAAATCAAGTATTCCTAAATTGTTCTCTAAATTTGATCTCCACTGTAAATGCAGCCTTGGCTATTACTACAGTAATGAAATTTACATCATGTGCACTGTACGCATACCCTAACATACGCATTAAAAAAACAAACTATACTTAAGCTTTTAAGGGTAGTCTCAGGGCAGTAAGAAACCTCTCAGAACACCATGGAAAAGCCATATCAACCTTGAGGTCAGACTCTTGCGTGAGCTTCGTTGTGACTCTAAGTAGCTCTTAACCCCACTCAAAGAGACCAGCACCATCCTCCTGCTCTTTTACAGCACTACTAAAAGATTCAGCTGCAGGTTTGGCTACAGAAGCTCCTTCTTAACCCGCACATCCCCCTCATCCTCCCTCAGACTGAAGCAGATGGAGACTAGGCATGAGGGGGATGCTGTTAATGGGACCCCATAGACTAGGATCAAGGCTGTGCCTCTCACTCCCGGGACATTATACAGTGTATTGGGGTGGGGAAGGTCAAGACCAGGTTATAATTCTTGCTCTCAGCAAATGATTTTAGCTCCTTCTTCTTTGTTCAAAAAGCATGAGAGGTGGGTTTTTCTTTTTTAAATCTCGTTGGGAATAAGTGCTTTTGTTTGTAGTCTTTCACTCATAATACATTTTACACTAGCGCTACCCCTCCTTCTAGCTCTCTCTCGCTCCCTCCCTTTCCCAAGAGAGCCATCGCCTCAGCCTCTAGATCAGTTTAATCTTTCTGTCAGGGCGGACCGCAGGTGTTGACAGTGGCTGTAGATAAATAAATAAACACTAAACAGGCCACACATCTCCACCCACAGTTCATCTCCTCCTAATGGAGCCGTCGGATGAGCCCATCCACATTTAATCACCGCACTCAGAGAGACACTGCTCCAGCTCTGATCTCACGACAGCCTTAACCAGTGGTGTTACAGCGAACAGCCAGTAAATTTAACAAGACATGTCAATCCAGTCAAACGAGTCATTTGTGAATGAGAAACTTGGAGGACTAACCTTATTCTAGGCTCAACAATATAGCATTGGATAAGAAACTTGTGTTATGACTCGCAGTCGATTTTTCTTGGAAATTGGAAGCACATACTCTTAGGCAGATTAAATATTCATTAACCATTCTGGGCTTTAATGTGAGCTCATTCCATGCTTCTGCTTTGTCGTTGGTTCTTGTGACAAACTATCCGCAAATCTCCATTAGCCTTTTGCTGGGATCAACAAAGTTGAACCCTTATATTGTTGTTGCTGTAGGCGTTAACAAAATTGGTTTTTACATATCCAGACTGCTAATTTAGCCCTCTAATTAATTATGTATTATGTGTTCTCAGACCTAGAGGTTGGTTGAAGCCTTGCACCAATGAGCTGTAAGAAGAATTTAAGATCTTATTTATTTAGCATTTTTATTTTTAAAGTAAAGCAAACAACATAAGAAAAATACTCTTATTCCCAGAATCAGTAAACAGATTTCCAGAAAAAGTTTAGCCGCCTTGTTTGGGATCTGAAAGGCCTCAAGGGCAAGATTTAGCTGGCTAAATCAAAAATTTTTTTTTGTGGTATCAGTTTGAAACTGATTTTTCTTATTTTTAAAAATTTAACATAATGAAACCTTTTAATAGAGAACATGTTTCATTTTAAGTCTTTGTGACCCCAGATAATGTAATTAGTAATTAATAACATATATATTATATATGTTATACATATATAATATATATTATACATATACATATATATCATATAAATATACATTTCTGTTCAGGATAATAATGACTTTCAAAGAAGGGCACAACTGTTTTGTGGTTAACAGTGTTAAAGCTTCCTGTTTGGTTTTTATTAGGTCAGAGGAACATAAGATAATTTAAATAGAAAATAATTTTCTATTTAATTTTTTTTACATAAACAGCATTAGTCTCTGGGATCCCAAATGTTGCATGAAATCAACAGAAAATTAGGGTTAAGTCACAACGTTCAGCTTAACAGTGTGAGATCAGTAGACTTAACAGAGAAGTCAGTTAGATGTAAACCATTGATGGGAACATGAGATATTTGTGGCCAAGAGGTCATCAGAGATGCGCTGATGCAAACCTGATCTTTCCCCTTCGAAGATTTATCGCATGAGTAACTGGTGTACAATTGAGACATGTCTGGTATACTGGAGTTGCATTGTGGAGTTTGAATTAACCATATATTCTGCAGGAGAAAACTGTTACAGTATAATGCTTTCATGTAAAGTCCATATCAGATACCATGAGCACCCTTCCTTCTGCTTTTAAAAACTCTCTCTCATGGGGGAAAAAAAGAGAGGCATCTAACATCAGTTGACTTTTTTTTCCTCTTCCTCATTTCCTGTTCCCTCTTATGTCCCATTTATGTGATCTTGTTTTTCCTGAGTTGCATATAGAAGCATGACATGTGACGTCCTTGTGCTCAGAGTTGATGGCTCTCTTAGTTCAGTCACGAATGGCTCGCTGTATGTATCTAATTCTGACACCACTGAAGCATAATTGGATTTTCTGTTATTTTGTAGAAACCAGAGGCCTTATTACTAAATGTAAATTGCCAAAATATTTCTGTGCTATTTATAAAATGTCTGCACGCACAAAAATTGTTTTCTATATTTATGTTTTGAAATACAAGAGTATATTAGGGCCCTATGATGTAAGTTCAGGTTTTTCCATTTTTTCATTTTTTATGGATTCAATTTTAAAGCAATTTTAAAAAGCTAAAGCTAAAAATCTAATCAATAGAATTCATAAAACTTCACTATAATAATGGATTAAAATTGTAACAATTAGGCCCTATGAAATGTGTTGTATTTTTTTGTCTAAATTCGGTTTTAACTTTTCTGGATTATATGTTGTATGATAGAATGCAAATTTATCAAAACTGCAGCAATAAAATGAATGAAATGAACTTCTTGTAATGTACAATTGTTTCTCTTTGCTTCAAAAACTTGTTTAATGCCTCACAAATGCAAATTCCTAGCTTCCAAAATGACTTTCTTTTGGTCAAAGAATATTCTGTTAAAGTAGGTATTCTGAATGACACGCCATGACACACAATCTCAATATGACCAAATTCTGAATCAAATTGTTCTTGTGATCACTGATCATTTATACATTTTCACTATTTGCAAGGTCATCGGAATTTATTTGGCAAGTCAAATCCATGGAATTTATGATCAAATCTGTTCATACATGCATTTTATAAATGAAGCCCCAGGGTTCTTCATTCTTTATAGTCAGCGTTGAAGTAAACTAACTATAAAGATATTTCAATCTCTTAGTCATAAAACTGAAATCTTGATGCTCTTGTTCTCAAGAATTCAAACACTAAGCTTTTAATGTAGCCATTACATCAACCGTCTTTTATTTAAATCTTGATGGTTCTGCTTAGAAGAGCCGAATGTGAGTTTGGATCTATTGGCCTGTCTAGAAGTTAACTAGGACGGAGTAATGTAAATGTTAATGTTCCTTAGGCCTGTCTCTTTCGGTCTTTGAGTATTGCACAGCATAGCAAAATATAATGTGGTCTCACTGCATATTTTTGTTTCCCTCCTACCACTTTCCGTAAATGACCCTCATACCTCACGTGCTTTCTGTGTTCTCCAGCCCGAAGGCACTGCTCTTCTGGCAAATTCTGGATTAACGTGAAAATATTTGAGATTTTAACCTCTGGTTACCTCTAACACACATTTTCTCTCTCTCATAGATAGCAGTGATGACTGTGACGCTGTTCCCTGTTCGTCTGCTCTTTGCTGCATTCATGATGTTGCTGGCCTGGCCCTTTGCATTCGTGGCTACTGTTGGCCGTTCTGAGGATGCAGTTGAACCTCTATCCTGGTGGAGGTGGTGAGTGACACATCAGAAATGTTAATCAGACGTGAGAGTTTGGGAACATTACGCTGCATCTTTGCATGATGAGATTATGCCGCTAACACAGAACTACAGAGCCAGCCAGACTGCAGTTTACAGCAATAAAGTAACTGAAAGTCATTCATTTTCAAGTTCAAGATTTGAGGCAGCATGAGCTATAGTGAACATTGCATATAAGTAATGTGAGTGCAGACGCTTGCGTGATCAGCTTCCTGATACAGTTTGAAACTGCAATCAAGGTGCATCAACAACTACTTGCAAGTAAGGTGAACATAAAAATGTTTCACCCAAAAATGAAAATTCTGTCATTAATTACTCACCCTCAATTACTCACCTGTAAGACCTTTGTTCAGCATTCTGATCCTGCATAGACAGCAACGGAACTACCCCATTCAAGGCCCATTCTCGACGAGATTTTTTTTTTTTTTTTTTGCGCAAAGAAAACAAAAATAACTACTTTATTCAACTATTTTTATTAAACAATGCATCATGTTACTCTTGTGAATGGCAGAGGATGGTGACACAGAAGAGAAGAATTATTAACGATAGGCTATTTTAACAATGTCCTTACTACGTTTCTGGGCCTTGAATGTGGAATTTCTGTTGCTGTCTATGGAGGGTCAGAAAGCTCTCGGATTTCATCAAAAAGATATTAGTTTGTGTTCTGAAGATGAACAAATGTCTTACGGGTTTGTAATAGGCTTGCCGCGATAGACGGTGCTGACGGTGATACCGTTGTTAAGCCGCAACACCAGTTACGTCACTTGCCCAAAGCAGCACCGACCCCCACCGTTGTTTTGTATTTTGTTGTTGCATTCAAGCAATTGACGCCGAATTGCCGCTAAATGCGCACGGTGCTTTTAAGCTATTTAAAAGCGAGGAAATGCCCCTGCCCCCACGGTGATACCGGTATTATCGGTGTTGTCACACGTCGATTAACCATTGGGAAAATTTCCTTACCGTCACAACCCTAGTTTGGAATCCGAATGACATGAGGGTGAGCAATTAATAATGACATAATTTAAATTTTTGGGTGAACTATCCCTTTAAGATCTCAATCTAGTTAAAACTAATCTATATTTATTATTTGTGTGCACGTTTTAATATTTGGGCTGGGTATTGACACATATTTCACAAAACCGTTTGCCTTAGATTCTTGATTCAGTTAGGTTCCAATTACATTTTGATTCAATATCAATTTATTTGAATATATATCAACTGAAGTGCATCGCAATTTTTCTTAAAGAACACAATCTCTTAAATAATACAGGGGAAGCATGTCAATTGGTATATTACTACGTCATTAAAGGTTAAAATTAACAGTCCAAATTTATTTTTAGATGTAATGATGAACACTCAAATAAAATCTTGCAATCTCACATCACATTTCTGTCAACTTTTAATGATATAATTATGTTTATACTCCAATTCATTTTTAAAATATGAACATTTACATGGTGGCTGTCATTAAAAACTTTTATAAATCTTTTTTCATGACAGATTCATTAAAATTCATTCAAATGCTCATCTTTAGAGTTAATTTTTCTAGCTAACTGTCGAGTTATGGACATTTCCTGAGGTAACATGTTTGTGACATCTTTTACAAAGCTGTCTCATTGCGGTTGAAACTGAGCAATTACATGAGATATACATTTCAGTAAGTTGTACGGTTACTTTCAGCATACATTCTGAATGTCAAAAATTTTGTGATAAAATTGTCATTTGAAAAGCTGAACCTTTACCCAGATAGCACACATACGTCTGCAAGATCGCTTCATCTGGAAAGCATCTGCTGTGAACGAACATCTGATAAATGTCTCTATGTCAGTTTTACATACATTCTAAATCATAAACATCTTAAAGACATTTTCTTAATGTGTATTTGACGTCTAACGGGAGATGTTCTAGAGACATATTAACACTTAAAAAATGTCTTCCAGATGTAAACACACACTTCAAATAGACGTCGCTGAGATGTGTTTGTGCCTTCAGGGAATTGTTTTAGCTATATTAAAAGATTGTGGAATTTATGAACTGATATCAGTTCATCAGAATGAAGATCAATTGATGAATGTTGTCAATCCCAGCCCTATTTAACAGACAGTTGAGTTGTTAGCTTAGCAAAATGCTAAAATCAAACTCTTGCCCTGCGTCCAATTATGCCCACTTCCTTATCAGGTGAAACATGCTGTCATCAAATTCTTTGGAGCAAATGAGTGATTGAGTCCTTTCGCTTTATGTGGTGGTGAGCATTATGTGCATTTGCTGACCACGTAGTACGTTTTCAGTCGCTAGTGAGGATCCATTAGTTAGAAGTTAGTTTACTAGCGTTTGGAACAAAGCCATGGTCTAAATATTCTCAGATATTGGAGAGCTCGCTGTTCCTCGCCATTTTACCCTGCTAAACATAAGAGCACTGTATTGTGTGTCTGTCGTATGTGTGGCACACCTACCACACACAGAGTCACATCACACTGCTCCATTCACACCGTCTCCATTCCACTATCACCTGATCGCTTCCAGCAGGGCTTTTCATATTCTCTCACTGAGTCTTTCTGTATCCCATTGTGCACGAGTTTGTTCATGTGAGGGTGGAGAGGAGAGGTTTTTGTCTTTATCCACAGTGTAAGTTTGACACTGCTCTGTTACCAACACTGGAGGGGGGCACAGGTCACCAAACTACTTTTCTTTTGCTACTGTGGATGTTTGAGAGGGTGTTTCAGTGAGTGATCGTGAGCCAGCAGTGTTTAAAAACATATTTTCTAGCGCAGTTAATATTTAGCATGAAGTCCATGTAAAACGCTATGGTTTAACTACACTGAACAAAATTATAAACGCAACACTTTTGTTTTTGCCCCCATTTTTCATGAGCTGAACTCAAAGATCTAAGACTTTTTCTATGTACACAAAAGGCCTATTTCTCTCAAATATTGTTCACAAATCTGTCTAAATCTGTGTTAGTGAGCACTTCTCCTTTGCCGAGATAATCCATCCACCTCACGGGTGTGGCATATCAAGATGCTGATTAGACAGCATGATTATTGCACAGGTGTGCCTTAGGCTGGCCACAATAAAAGGCCACTCTAAAATGTGCAGTTTTACTGATCATGCTGTCTAATCAGCATCTTGATATGCCACGCCTGTGAGGTGGATGGATTATCTCGGCAAAGGGCTCACTAACACAGATTTAGACAGATTTGTGAACAATATTTGAGAGAAATAGGCCTTTTGTGTACATAGAAAACGTCTTAGATCTTTGAGTTCAGCTCATGAAAAATGGGGGCAAAAACAATTTTGTTCAGTGTAGTTCAGTGCTTAATTTTAAGCATTCTCCAAAGACATTCTCAATGACATTTTAACAGTTACCTAGTCTCTGAATACAAATGACATAGATACATAGTAAAATAGACTTCATAGAGATGCATTATTTATACGTCATGCTAGTGAAGTTTAATGTAGTGTAGTTTAATGTTGACTTTAAATGCTGTCTGATATGGACCACAGACGGATGGATGTGAAGGCAATTGAATTGGCACAAAATGTCAGGAAGCAGGCAACATTTTCTTTCTAACTCTGTCTCTGTTTCTCTGTTTCTGTCTCTCCAGGCTGGTAGATCTGGTCCTAAAGGCCATCATGAGAGCCATGTGGTTTTCTGGAGGGTTTCACTGGGTCCGTGTGAAGGGCCGGCCTGCACTGCCTAGTGAAGCACCCATCCTCACAATGGCCCCTCACTCATCTTACTTTGACGCCATCCCTGTCACCGTGACGATGGCCTCTATAGTGATGAAGGCTGAGAGTAAAGACATTCCAGTCTGGGGCAGTGAGTTTTTATAAATATACAAATATAAAAACATTTACATTTTGGTTTGTTTAGTTCAACTTTGAGCTACTTTGCCTTTGATAAATTGAGCTGTGGTTAGATAGTTTTTTTTTCCTCTTTATGTTAAGGGCTACACTGTTCAAAAGTTTGGGGTCTGTAACATTTTTAAAACATTTTTGAAAGAGGTCTCTTATGCTCATCAAGGCTGCACTTATTTGAACAAAAATACAGTAAAAACAGTAATACTGTGAAATATTATTACAATTTAAGATAACTGTTTTCCTGTTTGAATATATTTTAAAATAAATGTTATTCCTGTGATCAAAGCTGAATTTTCAGCATCATTACTCCACCACTCTTTTTGTCACATGATCCTTCAGAAATCATTCTAATATGCTGATTTGCTGCTCAAGAAATAGTTCTTATTATTATCAGTGTTGAAAACAGTTGTGCTTTTTAATATTTTTGTGGAAACCATAATACATTTTTATTTTCAGGATTAGTTGATGAATAAAAAGTTCAAAAGAACAGCATTTATTGCAAATCTTGTCTAACATCATAATGTCCTTACTATCACTTTTGATCAGTTTAAGGCATCCTTACAAAATAAAAGTATTAATTTCTTTAAAAAAAAAACTTACTGATCCCAAACTTTTGAACTTTTCCAGGAGTGAATCATCTCATTTGCTTATGAATGCATGTTCATTGCTGTGTGGTCATATAAAATGTGTCATACTCATACACTGGCCCATGATGAATAAAATTCATGATCTGATAATAATATTTCTCCCAGTTCCAAGAGAGCAGCTTAACTGGCATCAAGAGGAGGTTTATTTGTCATTTGAATAAGAAAACTTGGATTTGTTTGTTCAGATGACCTGTTAATTAATTAATTGTTTATTATAGAAAATCTCAATTTATACTCCCAGCATTTTGCAAGATTTGACTCACCTACTAAAGCTATTATTTTTTTTGATCTCTCTCTTTCCATCCCTCTCAATTCTCTTTCTCTTACCTCACCCTTCACTCTTTCTCCGTTTGTAGCTCTTATCAAATTCATCCGGCCCGTGTTTGTGTCCCGCTCAGATCAGGACTCTCGGAGGAAGACTGTCGAGGAGATCAAACGCAGAGCTTGCTCTGATGGCGAATGGCCTCAGGTACCACACACAGACTTCTGATATTTCACATCTAATGTAATGACATTCATACAGTATAGGTGTCCAAACACGTATTTAAGCTACTTTATATCATGAGTGCAGTGCTGAGGTATTTCCTCTGACTGTGGCCTGTTTTCAGATCATGATATTCCCGGAGGGCACATGCACCAATAGATCCTGTCTCATCGCATTTAAGCCCGGTATGTGCCCAACTCTGATATCTGCTGACTAAACACACTTCCCATGCCCAGAACCTGTTTATGGGAGTTTTTTATTTTTTTGGAGTCTATCTTAGGAAACTTTGAGGAAAGTTTTGTATTTTGTATGCGTGTTCTTTGGTGTTTGCTCTCTCTTTGTACCCTCTCTAATCTGCGGCCCATCATGGTTCACAGGACTGAGAGATCTGGTGATTGGCTTCCTCTTCCTGTGTACGCTGTGGATTATGATGGTCTTTTCTCCTCAAATCCCCCTCTCCTCTGTCAGTCATTGAATCGGCTCTATTCCTCTAATCCTCACCCCTCCTCTCTCCATCATCTGCGTGTTTTCTCTTGTCTGGCTATCTCACTTTTCTCTCTGCAACCTTTAATACTGGAGCTCTCACTGTCCCAAACAACATCAGATAGCTCTTCCAAAACAAAAACCAAGCCAGATACTGAGTTTGGATGTGTAAGGACAGTTTTGGTGCTTTTTGAACATGTTCACTTATGTTTATAGGCAAGACCTAAAATGAATACTCCTAATCACACCAAATGCAGGTTAAAATTAGGGTTGGTGAGAATATGAAACTGTTGGCCGGTAACTGCTTTTTATAAATTAACAATGCCTGAGAATGCAGTATGGTTAAATAACAAAGACTTGTATAAATCTGTATATAGACTGGTTTATAAATCTGTTGTAAGCAAAAGAGAAGCATTTAAAAAGATAATATTTCCTACGGATTTCCACCAAAATAAAAGCTTTATTGTTTAACCTTTGAAAGCAAAAAAAAAAAAAAAAACAACAACAAAAAAACATAAATATTAGTATTGTAATTGTACTGTTATATAATAATAATAATAATAATATATTATTAAATATTTTACAGTTCAATAGTATTATAGTGATTATTTCTTTTTATTTCTTTTTTATAATATTGTATAGATGATGCTTATTATTATTGTTATTGTTATTTATGTTTTATAATATTGTATAGATGATGATGATGAAGATGATTATTATTGTTATTGTTATTAAATATTTTACAGTTCAATAGAATTATTATGAAATACTTCACAGTTTAATAGAATTATAGTGATATTTCCTTATTGATTTAATTTTTTATAATTAAATTCAATAAAATTAATAACAATAATAATTGCAATTAGATGAAATTAAATGAAATAATGCACATACAGTTTCATGGCTTGTAACAACTCAAGTCAGCCTTGGCAGGTGTGGCAAAATGTATATAGAGCATTTTTCTTGAATAGACTTTAAGCAAATAGTGTCATAGTTACATTCCATTTTCATGTTTCATGGCTTTCATTGATATATTGATAACTAGAAGGGCATTATAGTCCACAGGAAACACTTTTTAAAATGTTTTTCTTGTGATTTTGGTGTGTTCTATTATACTCATAATAAAGCCATATATTATATGGTTATTACTGTAGTAGTAGTAGTAATAATAATAATAATAATAAATATTATTACAGTCTAATAGGTTATGCACATTGGTTATTTGTCAAGAGAATAAGTGGAGGAAAAGACAATAAAATAGCAGTATCTGCACTTACTCTGGTTCTAAAATGCACAAAAGCACTTTGATTTAGTTAACATTTCAGTGTTTATGTATGTCAAGAACTTGTAAAATAATTGTATGAATTCAAATTACATTTATTATTAATAATAATAATAATCAAATTACATATACGAATAAAATACTTTTTATTTTGCTCTTTATAAAATAACCAAGCCGTTCAAAAACCTGTTTTTTTTTTTTTTTAAGTCGTACACTTTAGTGTATTAAAAGACAGAGGACCTGTGTATGCAAAACCATGGTGCATTTATTTACAGTAGTTCTACTCTGCCTAAAAAGTACAGGCACACTTCCGCTCATGTGGACGCAAGCTTTAGTCACATACAGTAGCAGCTCAGAACCTCAATAGTGAAAGATGCAAATGGATGATGGGGGATTTGTGTATTTGCATTAGTTGACTTGCTTTGTTTAAAACTTGGGTTGAGTTTGTCAAAGGTGAGTGAGTTCAGTCTTAGAGGATAGATTGGCCAGTTTCTATTAGCAGCATGTAATAAGGAGCTGTTTGTAAGCTGAAGGGCATCTCTCGTCTCTCTGCACCTTCCCAGACGTGATGAGATCTGACTGGCACAGAGTGAAACTGAGGCTCAAAATATAGAGAAAAAGAGAATGTAGTTGTTTTCTGAACTCTGTTACGAGTTCTGATAAGGGATAGTTCACCCCAAAATAATAATAAAAAATACTAACTTACCTCATCCACTCATTCATATGTTGCTTAAAACATAAATGTTGTTATTTTTTTTCAGTGAAACGCAAAAGGATTTATTTAGCACAATGCCAAGCAGTTCTCATTTAATGGTAGTGACAGCTGTCAAGCTTCAAATAGCACAAAATGTACTTCAATACTTACAATCATTTAAGTATTTTAAATGATTGTGCAATACTTTGCAAATATCCTGGCTTAAAGATATTCTACTGCTGTTCAAAATATTTCCACCAAGGCTGGAGTTATTTTTACTGTACAAAATACAGTAAAACCAATAATATTGTATTGTAATTATTATATATAATATTGTAATTATTTACATTTAAAATAACTGTTTTCTATTTGAATATACTTTAAAATCTAAGTTATTTCTGTGATGGTAAAGCTGAATTTCAGCATCATTACTTGAATCCCTCAGAAATCATTAAAATATGAAACTTTTCTTATCAATGTTGAAAACAGTTTTTTTTTATTTTGTGGAAACTGTTTTTTTTTTAGTTCAAAATAACAGCATTTATTTGAAATATAGATATTTTGTAACAATATAATTATGATCAATTAATGTGTCTTTTCTGAATAAAAATACAGTATATGCACTGCAGAAGTAAAAAAAAAAAAAGTATTTTCAAAAATAATATTTAACGAAATAAGCAATCCGCCTCCTCAAAAGACAGTTTCAAGTGTAAAACGTTCTTGAAAGAAACATTCAGCTCATCATAAAGTTGTGTATTGACAGAAACAGTGTTCTAATCCTCTAACTGATGTAATATTATTCATTTTCTTATTCTGCATCTTCTTGTAAACCTTGAGTGTTATGCAAGTTCTTGGTTTGTGTCATATCTGAATATTAAAAAGAGTGAAGCTGGATGAGGTGAGGAGTGGATTTGGATACTTAAGCTCACACCCACATTCAAACAGAGGGCTCATGTTTCAGCACAGGCTATAGTTTTAATGCCACACCCGGCCCTCCGAGTGGAACGAGGTCAAAGCACAAGTTCTCTTCCACAAGGCCCTCATTCTCACTTGTTTACTGTCCTTTTGTCCCTCTTTTCCTGCAGGTGCGTTTATCCCTGGAGTTCCCGTGCAGCCTGTGCTGTTGCGGTATCCTAATGAGATGGTAAGAATAAACTCTACGCCCAAACAGGGAGTGTCTTACACTCGTACTTACTGTCTGCAGCTGTGCGCTATGTGTCTCCATTCATGAAGACTATGAATTTATTTTTCACAGTTATACTTTTCTATTCCCTGTCAAAACCTTTCTGTATATTATGTCTTTGTTTCCTTCTCTCATGAATAACACAAGCCCAGCAATCTCTTAGAGTACTTAGAGCCAAGGTTGTGCTGTAGGAGAAGCAAGGTCAAGTTCAAGTGGTTAGGTTAGGTGTGTGTGTGGGATAGTTAGCTGTTTAGGAGGATACTGCCAGTATAACACTCGTGTTTTTGTTTGAGATGCCAAGCCTATTCGTTGCCTTCTTTCTCTTCTCACTTCCCCGACAGGATACAATCTCATGGACGTGGCAAGGGCCTGGAGCGTGAGTCTCTTGGGTTCACTTAAAAAAAAAAAATTGTCATTATTTAGTCACCCACATGCACCTATATGCATTTCTTTCTTCTGCTGAACACAAATATATTTTGAAGAATGTTGGTAACCAAACAGTTTCAGTTTTCAATTACTTACATTGTTGTTGTTTTTTTGGTGTAGATTAATGGTCAAGATATATGCATGATATGTGCTTGTATCTATTTGTAAATTAAAATCAAATTCCATTATCTTTTTCAGGTTTAAGATTCTATGGCTCACATTATGTCAGCTACATAACTCTGTAGAAATAGAGGTGAGAACTCATATTGTGGTATAAATATCATGTTATTTTAGTATTATTCATACACTATTACAAATAATATTATACTTTATATTATTTTGAAGCTTTTATTTTATATTTTCAGTTTAGGTTTAGTCATTGTTCTTCATTTTTATTTTACATTTATTTATTTGTTTATTTTTTCAGTTTTAGTCATTTAGTTTTACTCTTAAATGTAGTAATTCAAATTATTTTTTATACATTTCAATTTTCATCTAATTTTGATCATCTAATAATTTCATTTAATTTGATTTAATATCTAATTTTAATTTATTTTTTGCTTAATATTTTAAATATTTGTAGTTTTAGTTAACAATAACAACACTGGTAAATATGCACAAATCAGATTTGATGATGATAAAGTTCTGTCCAGTATCTTCCTACATACACCCCGTCAGAGGAGGAGAAGAAGGATCCAGCCCTGTTCGCCAAAAATGTGAGACGTATCATGGCCAAGTGAGTGGATTTTAAAGAACAAAGTGTTTTTGTTGTGACCGATTTTATTAACACTTTATTTTATTATTTGACGTCTGTTTGTTTGGCTTTACATTTCTTTCTCTTAAAAGGCCCAAGTGTCCTGTAATCTGTATTGTGTGTGTGCTTTCTCCATAGGGCACTTGGGTTGCGCATTATCGATTACTCCTTTGAGGACTGCCAGCTTGCTATGGCCAAAGGCCCTCTGCGATTGCCCAAACACACCTGTTTGCTGGAGTTTGCCAGACTGGTACGACATTTAGGGTGAGTAGAGCAGTAGTTTTAAGCGGGTCGCCACATCTACGATAATGTACACTACTGTTCAAAAATATGGGGTTGATATGATTTTTTTAAAAGAAGTTATGTTTATCCAGGGATGCATTAAATTGATCGAAAGTGAGAGTAAAGACATTTATGATGATTTTAGTCCTTACAAAAGATAGAAAGTGAAAAGAAAGAAAGCAAAGCAGAAAATGCAATACGAACAAACCAGTACCTTGTAAACACAACTTAACAATAACACAACATAATTGTTTATCTGTTATCATGAGGATGTCCTGAGTTGGTGAGTGACCATTGATCAGACCAGGCTTCATTACGAGAACAGCAGGAAGACAGTCAGTGGAAAGTTTTCCTGTGGTTTCTGGAAGTTGCTTAAAGTCGGTCTGTCAGATGAGAGCTTGTTAGACCGAGGCAGTTCCTGCTGTTTGTCTGTGCAGTGTGCTTTAGATGATCTCTGTAGCTTGGACTTAGGGTAGTCTGTGGGTGTCTTGCAGACCAGCAGGCTGGGACGGTCTTTTGAAATAACAGACTTGATCTCTCATTTTCTAGGATGAAAGAATCAGTTCTCATGTTTTTATTGGGCAGCTGAGTTAAGTAGGTTGTAAGAGTGAAGGACAGTTTAGGATGTCTCGGGGACACGAGGTGCTGGTTTGGTCACTGGGTGAATCAGTCATCCAGCCAATCAATCCGTCAGCACCACTCGCCACTACATATCATAGTATTGATCTCTGAAACTTCAGTAGAACCACACCATAAAGAATCATTACGTTCAGTAGTACGAGCAGCCCTGTGCTGACTGATGGCCTTTGCCTGCCAGCAGAATGAGAGGAAGTTAAACATGGCCTTTGTTCAGTGTTGCCAGATTGGAAAATTATCATATTTGGAAGAAAATTATCGTACACGAGTCAAATGTACAGAATACAGCTATTTATCTAAACCAACAACTTTTTGACACGACCTGCAAATTACCACAATAGATAACTAGGCATACCGTGTTTACATTGGACGCGAGCAGTGCGACAAAATACTATAGAAACCATTATAATCAGTGACTGTTTGCACTGGATGTGACACGACACGACACATCCCCGACAGTAAACTGATGTCTCATTCTATTTATGACGTATTAAAATGATTTTTAACACTCGCTTTGTCGCGTCCAGTGTAGACAGACTTTAGCTGTTAACTCCATCTGAGCCGCTGTCATCGGAAGCCTGCGTGTTGCCAGATGTTGAGGGGGTTCTTGCCGTCATAGACCGCAACATAGTGCTCGTTGGCTTTAAAGCAGGGCACCCTCCTTGCATTCTTAACACACTCTGAGGTGTGCACGAGCGTAATGAGCCGATTTCATGTATGAATATAGAAGCCCTATGACTACAACTACCACCATTTGAATTGTCATAAAATTATTAAATTATCGTACATTATGGGTTTTTTTCATTATTGATCGTACATCGTACAGAGGTCAAAATTATCGTACAAATACGATAATTATCGTACGTCTGGCAACACTGCCTTTGTTTGCTTTGTATTAGCAGTTGAGGGTTGATTTTACACTGGTGCTAAAGCAGTGAGCTGGTTTGTACTGATGAAGTTCATCTGGTAGTGAACATGGTGCCCTCTAGTGAATATGATGAAGAAATACAATCAACAAAGGTTTGTAAGATGGCTTGCTGTAATTAAAGTTCAGAGTATATAACATTCAGTAAGCATCAAAGATGTGTAAAAAGAATGGCTTTGGCAAGTACAGTAAATAAAAACATTAATAATCTTTTCCCCCTTTTTTTAAGGAGTGCAATATAATGCATGTGATGCATATATATAATTATATATATATAATTATATAATTTATCTGATGAAAGTAAAGTCAGCAAATAAAACCAGAGACACTACTTTAAAAGTTTGGATTCACTTTAAAAATGTGTTTTAAAGAACCTGAAACTTGAAATCTTTAAAAAGGTGAAAGGGAACTTAATGGACCCTGAAGGTTAAGGTTGCTGAAGCTTTTAATCATTATTTCATATCGTTAGCTAAAAATTATTTAATCAACTTCTAGGGTGGCCTGATATTTATAATGAAAAGTGGTGCAGTCTTTTTATGGGCAATGTGGAAATGTTCAGGATTCTTGTAAGACCAGTCACTGAAAGTAGTTGTATTAATAAAACGTAAATAAGGCACCTGGGATTGATAATAAAACATTTTAGAGACTGTGTAAATTTATCATTTGACCAAGGAAAATTACCAAGTGAGTTTAAAAGTATTAGAGTTATACCCTTATATAAAAAGGGATGTAAGTTAGCCTGTTTCTGTCTTAGGTGTGATGTCTAAGATAATGAAAAGAACAGAAAAGAAAAAAGAAAAACATGTCTATGACCGGAATGAAAAATATATTGGTAAAAACAATATTTTGTATGAGTACTGTAGACCACACCATTTTATTGTATAAATTAAAGGTAGTTGGGTTTGAGAAGCCAGAGAGTTGATGTTAAGGGTATATTGTGTGGTCCTTTATCAATTAATTGTGGAGTTCCTCAAGAGAGTATTTTACTGTAGGTCCCTTATTTTTTCTCTTATATATAAATGATCTTAAAGCATCGTGTTCAAAGGAACTTTTTCTTTATGCTGTCGATGCAGCAATTTTAGCATTTCGTCAAGATAAATGGGTCCTGGAGAAAATGAGTTTGCAGTTACAAGAGATGTCCAGATAGTTTTTAGACAATAAGCTTTCTCTATATATAGGTAAAACTGAAGCCATTCTCTTTGCTTCTAGAAGGAAATTAAAGAAGTGACACTTTTTTTTTGGTTAAGATTAACAATATTGTATCAACAATATTGAGTCAAAAAATGTAGTAAATTATTTGGTTTGTTTAATATGTAATAAATTAACAGGTGATTTAATGGCTAGAAGGTACTGTATTCACGAAAACATGTCAGATTAGGTTTTTAGTGATGCAAGGCAATTTGTTGGATGTTTATTCCTTAAAATTTCTGGCAGGGGCCTTATTTCCATAGCAGTCCAAATGGTGATTGAACCGCTATGGAAATAAGCCAATGGCTTTGTGTTTTTTATCCTCACCAGTTTTTTAAACTGTGTGGGATACTTATTTGGTACAGTTTTGTCAAACTTGTGTCTTGTCAAATAAATTTCAATTCAGTTCGCCTAGAATGCATTAAATTACAGCGATGATACGTACACTACTACTCAAGTTTAGGGCCTGTAATGTTTTTTAAATGTTTTTGAAAGAAGTCTCTCATGCTTTGATGAATTAATTGATTAATATTGTGAAATATTTTTACAATGTAAAATAACGGTCTTTTATTTGATTGTTTGTATTTTTTATTCCTGTGATTGTAAAGCTGAATTTTCAGCATCATTACGCCAGTCTTCAGTGTCACATGATCCTTCGGAAATCATTCTGTTATGCTGATATATTGCTCAAGAAACATTTCTTATCAATTTTGAAAACTGGATTCTTTGAAATCTAGGATTCTTTGATGAATAGAAAGTTGGAAAAAAAAACTGCATTTATTTGAAATAGAAATCTTTTGTAACATTATAAATGTCTTTACTGTTACTTTTGATCAATTTAATACATTGTTGCTCAATAAAAGTATTAATTAATAATAGTTAAAAAATATATATTATAGACCCCAAACGTTTAACTAGTTGAATAATGTTTCTATTTCTATTACCAAATATGATTTTCTTTAAACATGTAGCAGTGACATCTGAACAGACCTCGTGCGTTCTTATGCAGTCAGTTTCAGGTTCAGAGATTCAGCTGATGTTTTATCATGCGTTCTGCAGTGTTTCCCGTGTTATTCTGTAGGATGCTTCTTCAAACTGTTCCCACAGCAGCTCAACATCTCAAACGTGGATTCATTTATCTATAATACTCTTTTGTAGTCTTGTACCATCCAGTCTTTGTTCTTTGTGCCCATCTTGCTCCTTTTTTTTTGGCAATGTCAGATGTGACTTTTTCTTTGAAACAGTTACAAGAGATGTCCAGATAGTTTTTAGACAATAAGCTTTCTCTATATATAGGTAAAACTGAAGCCATTCTCTTTGCTTCTAGAAGGAAATTAAAGAAGTGACACTTTTTTTTTGGTTAAGATTAACAATATTGTATCAACAATATTGAGTCAAAAAATGTAGTAAATTATTTGGTTTGTTTAATATGTAATAAATTAACAGGTGATTTAATGGCTAGAAGGTACTGTATTCACGAAAACATGTCAGATTAGGTTTTTAGTGATGCAAGGCAATTTGTTGGATGTTTATTCCTTAAAATTTCTGGCAGGGGCCTTATTTCCATAGCAGTCCAAATGGTGATTGAACCGCTATGGAAATAAGCCAATGGCTTTGTGTTTTTTATCCTCACCAGTTTTTTAAACTGTGTGGGATACTTATTTGGTACAGTTTTGTCAAACTTGTGTCTTGTCAAATAAATTTCAATTCAGTTCGCCTAGAATGCATTAAATTACAGCGATGATACGTACACTACTACTCAAGTTTAGGGCCTGTAATGTTTTTTAAATGTTTTTGAAAGAAGTCTCTCATGCTTTGATGAATTAATTGATTAATATTGTGAAATATTTTTACAATGTAAAATAACGGTCTTTTATTTGATTGTTTGTATTTTTTATTCCTGTGATTGTAAAGCTGAATTTTCAGCATCATTACGCCAGTCTTCAGTGTCACATGATCCTTCGGAAATCATTCTGTTATGCTGATATATTGCTCAAGAAACATTTCTTATCAATTTTGAAAACTGGATTCTTTGAAATCTAGGATTCTTTGATGAATAGAAAGTTGGAAAAAAAAACTGCATTTATTTGAAATAGAAATCTTTTGTAACATTATAAATGTCTTTACTGTTACTTTTGATCAATTTAATACATTGTTGCTCAATAAAAGTATTAATTAATAATAGTTAAAAAATATATATTATAGACCCCAAACGTTTAACTAGTTGAATAATGTTTCTATTTCTATTACCAAATATGATTTTCTTTAAACATGTAGCAGTGACATCTGAACAGACCTCGTGCGTTCTTATGCAGTCAGTTTCAGGTTCAGAGATTCAGCTGATGTTTTATCATGCGTTCTGCAGTGTTTCCCGTGTTATTCTGTAGGATGCTTCTTCAAACTGTTCCCACAGCAGCTCAACATCTCAAACGTGGATTCATTTATCTATAATACTCTTTTGTAGTCTTGTACCATCCAGTCTTTGTTCTTTGTGCCCATCTTGCTCCTTTTTTTTTGGCAATATCAGATGTGACTTTTTCTTTGAAACTCTTAAAAGCCCAGCATCTCAGAGTCGTCTCTGCACTGCTGGTGATGAAACCGCTGTTTAGTGTGTACTGTTCAATGCAGCTGCCAGCTGAGCTCCAGTCAGGGGTCTGTTTCTCGAACTAGAGACCCTGATGTTCTCCTCCTCTTGTTATTCTGGGTCGTCCACTTCTCTCCCTCTGCTGGTTAGATCCAGTTTGCTTTCTTCTTTCAAGACAGTAGCTCACTGAACAACCTTCATCTCTCAAAATAACAATTCAATGAGTTTCTTTTTTGAAACCACTACCAAGAAATGCAAGTGTTCTCAGTACTTGCAAAGATTGTTACAGTTCATTGGGCAACACAAGCATTTTCAAAGTATTCTTGAGTGCCAAATTGCATATTTTATTATTTTCTCCAGCCATTTTGCACATTTGGCAAAAAAATAATGGTGGATTTTATTTTGTCTTGTCTCTCAGGCTGAAGGCGGGTGTCACTGATGAAGTCCTGCACGAGGAAGCCTCTAGGGCCCGTGAACTGTGTGGAAGCAGACTGGACGTGGAGGGATTTTCTCAGTACCTCAACCAACCCATGACAGAAGCAGTACAGGACATCTTCTCACTTTTTGAGGAGGTTAAACATTTATCAAAACGTCTTTATTACATACTGAACAGAAATCAAATGAACTCTGCCTTTCAAACACGTCAATTATGTGTTTCCATGATGTCTGTCTGATTGTGATAACATTTGAATGAATTGTTTCCAGCATGGGAAGATGGATGTGAGAGAATATGTCATCGCCCTGTGTGTGGTCTGTAGACCTTTCAGATATCTGGAGACCATTAAACTGGCATTCAGGGTGAGTTGGGTTTCTGCAAGCTCTCTTTGTTTCAAATAGACAAGCTTGAGTTTGTATGAGTCAGAATCTCGCTTGTTTTCTGTTTAATAGATTCTAGTTCTTAATGTTTATTTGGATATAATGAACTTTTTAGGTCTTGATGGTAAGGAAAGATGGATGTTCTCTGAATTGTTGTCTTCTGTCCAGATGTTTGAAGCACAGGAGGATGGAGCAGTTGTAGAAGATGAGTTGGCCGTCATTCTGAAAACTGCTCTGGGGATTGGAGATTTTGCTGTTTGCTACCTTTTCAGGGCCATCGATTGTCAAGACAAAGGAAAGATCACATTTGGTAGGACCATTTACATCATGCCTTCACTTCCTCATTGTTTGTGGTCACACTAACCAAAATTAAAAAGTTATCTTGTTTCTTGTTTATTTATTTATATAGCACTACTAGAAGAACCCCAAGGGTTACCCACAGTGCTTTACATAAAAAAAAAAACAGAACCAAAAACAGTCACACACATATTGACCAATCATATAACCAGCTGTATAGTCAGCATATTCTTAAACATTGACAGAGATTTAGCAGACCTAATATGTGACCCTGGAGCACAAAACCAGTCTTAAGTAGCACGGGTATATTTGTAGCAATAGCCAACAATACATTGTATAGGTCAAAATTATCATTTTTTCTTTTATGCCAAAAATCATTAGGATATTAAGTAAAGATCATGTTCCATGAAGATATTTTGTAAATTTCCTACTGTAAATATATCAAAGCTTAATTTTTGATTAGTAATATGCATTGTTAAGGACTTCATTTGAACAACTTTAAAGGCGATTTTCTAAATATTTTGATTTCTTTGCACCCTCAGATTCCAGATTTTCAAATAGTTGTATCTCGGCCAAATATTGTCCAAACAAATCATACATCAATGGAAAGTTTATTTATTCAGCTTTCAGATGATGTATAAATCTCAATTTCAAAAAATTGACCCTTATGACTGGTTTTGTGGTCTAGGGTCACACACACACACACACACACATATATATATATATATATATATATATAGTGGCAGCTCATTCCACAGTCTCAGCCCCATTACTGCAAAAGCTCTATCGCCTTTTTGATGACGAATGGTCCTAGACACTACCAGAAGTTTATAATTTTCTGAACGCAAGGCTCTAGGGCGGTTATAAGGTATCAAGAGGTTTGTAAGGTACAAAAGTGGCTGATTGTTTAGGGATTTGTATACAAAAATTAAAATCTTTATTTTATATTTAACTCTAAAACAAACAGGGAGTCAGCGCAAATTTGCTAATACCGGGGAAATAGAATCATATTTCTTTATCCTCTTTAAAAGCATTCTGGACTGATTGTAATCGAGCCAAGCATGTGGTGGAAGTTACAAAAATCAAGACGTGATAAGAAAAATGTATGAATAATTCTTTCAAAATCGGCATTTGACAAAATGTAAGTTGTTTAAATGGATCATTCTGGTCCTTGAGAATTAGCGAAGCCCTTTTTGAAATCATTGTAAAACACTTGCCTTTGTGCCTAACAACTCCCTTTAGCTGTTCTAAAACCACTGTAAACCACAGCTTTATGGGGCTTTGTGCTTTATAATTATGAAATTATAATGAATTAGAATTAAATTCCCTGATTAAGACAACACACACACATTAATTTTGAGTAAAATAATGTTGGGTTGAAGCATATTTTACTCTGATAATATTAGTGATACTATGGAAATAATATACTAAATTTCAAGCTGAACATTGTGGAGTTGGACATTTAATTTCATGTTAATTGCGATAAAATAAAAATGGATTATAGTTTAAATTGATATTAAATGCACTTAGCTGAACTTTAGAGTGCTTTTTTTGGCTGGACTTAAAAACATCTTTGTAAGTTCATGATTAATTCTCTTGTCTTTGAAATATGGTTAAGTGTACTTCCAAATGTAACGACAGGCATTAAAATGTACTTTAAAGTTGCAGTTAACTAGTTATATTTGAAATGAATATATTTACCTTTTAATGTAATCAAATAACACACTACAGTTGTACTGAACTGTACTTTACTGAGTTTGTGCTTTACATGTGCATTAGTATGTTAGTGAACATAAAAATAAGTGCACTTTTTTTTAAAAGCATGGCAAAATATTAAGAAAATAATGATTTAAAATATACTTTAAAGTAAAACTTTTAATTGGAGTTTTTCAAATTCTTTTTAAATGGCTACAATTAAATGCATGTTTTTTTTTACAAGGGACTGCAAGAAAAATAAAAGGCCAAAGTTGACACTACTTAAAAAAAATAAAATAATAATAATACTTTTTTTTTTTCTTCGTGTATTTATTTATAAAAAATTATATAGGAAATCGATACCTGATTACTATGAGTTTGCATCAAGTTGTAGTAATTAATTCTCTGTAAAATTAATTCTGTCGTATCTTTGGTATTTGTAACTTTGTAAACATGCTGTGTGTTTGTGGCAGATGATTTTTGCCGGTTTCTGGAGGACTGTCCTGATTTCGTGGAGCAGTACCACTGTCTCAGTGAGCCGATCCCTCAACCCTCCAGAGAATCCACATCACCCTCAGAGTCTCAGCCTTCAACTAACGGCTTCTGTGCTGACTTCAGCCCTCGAGATCCCAGCGCACACAGCAAGAAACAGAACTAAACGCAGCTTTTACTATCACAGCCTGTCACCCTCAGTGTGTGAGGGTGTTTGTGTGTGCATGTGTGTACTTCTGTGTGCAGGAGAGATGATGACAGACCATATCTTTAAGTTGAATTGGGATTTGCATCTGGGTACATTACCCCAGGGATTCTTCCAGAGTTCTGTTCAAAATCCTTCAGTTATTTATTTTTTTATGCCCCTGAAGAACCTGTCTTACGAATGGAAACAAAACTAAATTTTTATGAGATTTTAATGGATTTCTATATAAAGTGCTGTTTGCTTTATAACATGAGCGTGGGGTTTGAATATACTCCAAAAAAAAAAAAAAACAAGTCTTTGCTGATGTTCTTCAGGGTGTGATGCAATATTAACAACGATGCGATATTACAACATGTACCACATGCATAACAAATATATTAGTATAAAGAAGATTTGAGTGAAACTGTAAAAGTCTCCGATTGGGTTTTCAATGAATGGAATTCTTTTATCAGTAAATCCTGACTGACAAACCCATTCACACACCATTTATTTGAGATTGATTTGTGTTTAAGAACATAATAATAATAACACTGGTGGCCTGTCCTGTTTAAAATCACTAGTGTTGTCGGTATTATTCAGTATATATCCAATTTTTATTATATTTTATCCTTAATGAACTCAGCTCCTTCCCATGAAAACAAGAACAGTGTTTAAAAATAACTTTAAAAAATTATTTTATGACACAAGACTAAAATTTTTCCAATGCTTCAAAGATTTTTATTATATAATAAAGCATTTATTATAATATTAAAATAAAGTCATTTTGATTTTTGATTTTTTTTTCTACAATGACTCTTTGGTGCTTTTTCACCGCTGTATAGGGGAAATAAATTATTATTATTTTGGTTAGTAATATAAATTAAAAGGTTAATATGCAATAGGCGACCGAAGTACTGACAATTAGCCTTTGAAACCTCTCAAAAATAATGAATGAAGAACAGATGACATTTCTACAATAAACTCTCCTGTAAATCTCAGTGTGTTACTCCAGCACAAGGAGGCGGAGTACAGCCACAGGAGTCAAGAGAGTGAACTTGAATCATCATAGGACAATGTGCTGGTTCAGGCAATTGTTCGTGATCGTATTTTAGAGATTGTTTCAGCTTCTGATTTTGTAGGATATTATAGGGGAAGACCCCTTCCTTAAATATGAATTCATAAACTCACTGAGCCTGAGCATTATTACGACTGAACGTTTGTTGTATATTATTGGACATGGTACCATGGTAATACCATACTATTTAATTATTATCTAGATATACAATCTACACCTCATAATGGCTGTCTTGGATGGGTATTAAAGTAACTTTTAAATATTTAACCTGACCTACTCTGTCCTCCAATTTCATATCCTCATTATTCTCTAACATGACTCTGTTTTGATTTTCAAATGTCAGTCTTTCACAGTCCCCCAGACAGCTTCCCATTCTCTTTCTGCTTTTCCCCTCGCTCTGTTTTTCTTCCCTCGCCCACCTTTTCCTTTCACTCCTCTCTGATGTCACCTAAGCCTACGATGTAAACACATGATGTCATTTGTTAGAGAAAGTTACATAAAAGAGTTTTGCTGCACCACAGGGTGGCGCTATAATATTAACAAAACGCCTCAATTCATCTGGCTCTACTGCGAGGAAAAGCATTACATCACCCCTGCTGTAAAAATAGACTAAGAATTGCTTTTTGGGTTCTTGAAAGTGGAGCATTTTGCCACCTGTGTCCAAGCTGTTAATAGATAATGACAGCATGTGAAACGGCTCACGGAAAGCAGGATTTGACACCCTGATGGACTGAGTGGATGAAGTTGCTATGCAACCTGGTCATCTGAGTTAGCCAAAGTGCCCTTGAAATTCTCCTCCAGTGTAATTCTTTGTCCTTCGCCTTGCTTTTACGTGAATGGACGGAGTTGAGTCACATCTGTATGGTCTGAATTGCGCGGTGTAAGGTCGTTTAGGCTACTTATTCAGCTCCATTATATAGTCAATGTAGTGCTCATATAATCTGGATTGAGATGCATGTGAGAATTCAGGGCTGCTTAAAGCATTTGCACTCAGTTTCGCTGAGATGTGTGTAATGGTTCACACGTGATGTTTATGCGGTTTAAAATGTGAATTTGTATGTCCATTTCCTTGCAAACTGTTGAATGCCCTGTGGAGAAAAGTCACCCAATGATGGATCTAAAGATTAGAAACAGCCTACATCAGGACATCTGAACACGTCTACATTTGCGTAGTTATCAGTCAGACTCCAAGACGTGTCCATCCTTATGGCGTGCATTAATATGATGATATGGAGGGTGATATTAGGAAAGCATACGTTTCATCTCGTCTGTGTCCTTCTCCGTGTATAATCACTCTCTGCCTGTGTTTGATGAGCAGGGGGATTTCATTAAACCGCCGATATGGACTTGACTCGTTCGCCGTGCCTCGGGCTTCCTCTGAGGATCTGCCAACATATATGTGTGTGTGCCGCTATTCATATATGCAAACATTTCTGTCAAATCTCTCAGCACCTGAAAGCAGCGTGAACCCAATAATCCAGAGGCAGATAAGAGCTGGCGTCAGTAGGCAGAACTAATATTATTTGTGCAGTGGAAAGCGTTTATCTGTCACGGACTGAGAATTGATGGTTTTGTGTCACTTTTGTTTAATAATGATGTGGTAATCTCAATATGCCCACTGGCTCGGGCTCTATTAAAGTTCAAAAGATTATCCAAATTAAAATCTCATTTGAAATATTGCTTTTCCCCAATATTTTGACTGGAGGTGGATTCTATTGGATGCGATATTTCTCATTTAGTAATCCAATTAACATTTTATGTTTGACAAACTGCAACGATGGCAAATAGGAACGGGGCTGCGCGACTGTGAAATCTTATAACGGGGCTTTCAAAGATAGGCTACTGAACTTGCTGCAATAAAACTTTTAATTTCACGACAGACGAGGTTTAAATATGGGCCGCGATGACTCGACTGCGGCTGTCAGAAAACAAAAGCAGAAAACAGTTTCCGTATCTTTGCGGTGACAGTGGATGTCTCTTATCGTGAATACAGATTTTCATTCATCGTTGCATAACATTGAATTAGCTCTAGTGATTGCTTGCCAGAACGTGTCTAGTTAGTGTGTGTCTGTATGTCACATCACGGGTGATCACAGCACACTGTGGCCTGCAGAAGCATTGACTCAAATCAGGGACTTGATCACCTGTCAGCTGCTCTCTTATCAGTCTGCATATTTCATAAGCATAATTTTATAAATGTAAACCATACGTAATATGTATAATTAAACCAAGAGAGTCTCTTTTGCGTTTCACAACTTTTAGACACACTAAAAGTTTGGACACCCTGACTGCTTTATTATAATTTCCCACAAAATAAGGTTGTCAGAAATAGGAAATATGGAAGT